GGGGCGGGGGGCGGTCTCAGACGCTGGGAAGGAAAATTGGAAATTTGACGGGACGGGTTTTACAGCCCAGGACTTTAACCTCCTGCCGCGGATGCGGTCGCGATTACCTTTGTTGAGCAGCTCTGATATTCAGAGGCCTCAGGGCTTGCTTGTTTATGGGAAAGCACGTTGGTTCTTTAAAGTAAATACAGTCAGCAGCAGAACTTTGAAGGAACTATTGCGTTAACACCTCTTTTTCGAGTATTATTGGTTCTCCTATTTGTGGCGTCTCAGCATTTTTCCAAGAGTTGTAAATTTTTACATAAATCTCGCTTTTACTGTGTTACTCATTCAAAGCGCCTAGGGGATATGAACAATCAGTTTCACTTATTTGTTTTTAATTAGGGTCAGTTTCATTTTCTTTTCTGTGCCATTGAATCGAGTCTGCAGTAAGTATTCGGTTTGTAAAGTTGAAGGCGAGTCGTTTTGTTGGCTTAAAGGTAATTGTAATCAAGGTTGTGTCTTTTTAAAGCTCGCCTGTGTTTTTGTAACGGAAATGCTTCAAGAACGTGGATTACATTGTTTATAAAGAAGCAGAGTGTAATAGTTTCTTTTTAAATGCTGCTGGTATTATTACCCCCAATGTATGTGGTGTGCCACAGTGTTTAGACAGTGATAGTCTTTTTTAAAATGAAATAAGAATAATGCATTCTAGCATTTGGTCACACAAGGGAGAGATTGTTTTTTAAAAAAAAATTTTTTAAACATGCTCTTGTAACTTTGTGTATCATCAGAAGATGTTAAGAGAACTTTTTAACGTTTCACTGAAGTAGTTGCTAGAAAGTCTGGTATTTATAGCAGTAATATTTGGAAACTTTCCTGAGAGTAAAGAATATGTAACCATATGAATCCTAAATCCTGCCCAACATTATTTGGTTTCAAGAAAGGTTATGTCTGTAGCAGGTGGAGTTTAGTTTGATACCTCATGGTTTGGGGGTAAGACTTCATTGGCTGAATATACATACAAACGAAGAATGGGTGGTTTGGCTTTGTTTTTCCAAAATTATAATGCAGTGTAGTGATGATGACTTGAGTTGTGTTTTTATTTTTATTTTGAGTTTTCTTCCCCTTCATCAAAGTTATTGAAGCAAGTAAAATGGTTTTATTTGGTCATTTATTAATGACTCTTAAAGGGATGTTCATTCCAAGAAAATCAAGGGTTTTGCTGCTACTTAATGTTATGGTAAATAGAGCTGTATTAACCATTTCTTAATATTCTGCTTTGACTTTCTTTTTCTCCTTCTCTTTTCTTCTGTCTTCACACTGTTTCATAATTTCTTTTGACTGTTGGATGAGGAAAGTGTAAACTTTATTTGGATACTATGGCTCAAGCTTTCTTCCTGAAGCAGGGCCATGTATGTTCAATTGATTTAAAATTTCAATTTAGTTTTTTCTTAGTTCATTAAAATCTAACAGACATTTTTCTATTTCTACATAAGATTCCAAAAACTTTAAGGTTGTACTTTTTTGGGGTGATAATTTTACCTTAATTAAAAATTGCACACAGCAACATTGAGGCTTTTTAAAAACAAACTTATTGTGACATTGGTTCATTGAAGTGACAATTATATGGGCATGTTATTATTCATACTTCCCAGCAAGGATAATACTCTGTTGTACTTCACAGTGTCAGATACTTTTTAAAACAAATTTTAAAGCCCATTCCTAATTCAGAGCCTTTAAAGATTAAATTAGATACTGTATATAAATCACTCAGCACAAGCTGGTGCTGAAAGGAAACACTAGTTGCTTCCTGTTTCCAGAATGTGTTCATTCATTTGTTTAACAAGTATATGAAAAGCTTTCTCTATACCAGGGCAGGGGATATAAACAAGCCCATGGTGGAGACCAACGAGTCAAACAGCTGATGCACTGCCGTAGAAATCAGCTCGGGGTACTGTGGGGTCTTTTAGGAGAAGTTTCTCACCCAGTCTTGGGGGAAAGGCCTTGTCAGGGAAAGTGTCCCAGAGGAAAGAAATTCTAAACTGAGAAGTGAAAGTGTTAACTGGCTGGAAGGGGAAGGATGGAAAAGAGCAGGTGAAAACAGCATGTGCAGAGCCAAGAGAGAGAAGGGACAAAAAATGAATTCAGTATGATGGAAACGTGACATAGGGAATCCCCATAGAGGCTACTGGGTCAGACAAAGGCAGGTCTAGATGTTAGCATGTTGTGCTGTGGGCAGTTGAGTCACCCGGAAAGGTTTTCTACACAGGAGCAGCATATCTAGATTTGATTCCCAGAAGTATTCCTGAAAGTACTCTTGACTAGGTGGCAGAGCCAGAAGGAAGCCCAGCTGGGAATGTTAGGTCTAGCTTCTCGTCCCAGTAGCTGACTAGTTTGGGTTATTGTTGCTTCATTTTGTAGACCTGTGGATTCTGTCTGATCTCTCATAGGTTCATTATGAAAAGTAAGCAAGTTAATGTATGTTGAGCAGTTCATGTAATGCTCAGCACATAGAAAATGCTCAATTAGTGGTGGTGCTAAGATTTTAAAATAGGATTCAGAAAGAAGATTATAATTAAGTACTTTTGTAGTATGTATTTGTGTTCACGTTTGATGTCAATAATGCCTATGGGTTTCATGTAAAAAGTCATACATACCATATAGATGAACCTCTTCAGAAAAATGAGTTTGTTTCAAGGTGAAACTTCCTGTAATTATAATTTTTTAAGATGTAAAATATTTCATACCATGTCACTTTGGACTTGAAGCACAAAAGTAAGTCGGATTTTCTCTTTGTATAGTTGAAACTTTCCCCTGAGGAATTATATACAAATTGAAGATTTAGTTGACAATTAGTACGTATAATGCAATATTATTGTGTATACTGTTTCTAGTTTTAAGCACTAGAGAGGGAAAAGTTAGGTCCTTAGTAAGTAAATACAATTGGAAATTGAAATGCCTGATTATATTGAAATATCAGACTTTTAGGGGACATAGAATAGAATGAGTTCTTCCAGTCAAATACATCACTGAAGACTTTAGAGTAAAAATTGTTGACATTCAGATTAGCATGTTGCTAAATGTCCCAAGGAAATTATTACAAAGTGTTAGAAAATACTGTTGTTTTTATATTTGGATGACTTGTTTGAAAATAACTTAAAACGACTAGAATACTTTTCCAAGATCTAATGGTAGGATAAGTAGATTGCTTTCGTAAGATTCTCACCTTATGAAACAAATGTGTGCTTTTGGTCTTTTGCAGAGTTGAACAATGACCATAGTTGACAAAGGTGCTGAATCTTCAGACCCATCAACCTGTCAGAATCAGCCTGGCAGCTCTGAGGCAGTCTCACCTGGAGACATGGATGCAAGTTCTGCCAGCTGGGGTGCTGTGTCTCCATTAAATGATGTTTCAAATCACACCCTATCTTTAGGACCAGTACCTGGTGCTGTAGTTTATTCGAATTCATCTGTACCTGATAAATCAAAGCCATCACCACAAAAGGATCAAGGTACTGTTTTTTAAAAGACAAAATCACTACCAGAAACACCTGTATAAATGCTGGCAGTGAGTTGAAGTTTCTGAGGGGGGCTTATTTTGCAAGGTATTGCCATAGGCAAGCATTACATTAACTTGTCAGTTAACCAGTAGTTATTATAGTTCCCTAAATTAGCTGGGCTCGGTGGTTCAGCCTTTGGGAGGCTGAGGTGAGTGGATTGCCTGAGCCCACGGGTTCGAGACCCGCCTGGGCAGCGAGACCTCATCTCTACAATAAATCAAAAAATCAGCCAGGCATGGTAGCGCATGCCTGTAATTCCGGCTACTTGGAAGGCTGAGGCCAAAGGATCGCCGGAGCCCAGCAGTTCGAGGCTGTGGTGACCAGGAGCGGCCATTGCACTCCAGTCTGGGTGACAGAGTGAGACTCCAACTCAAAAAAACAAAACAAAACAAAAAACAACATAATTCCCTAAGTTGATGTCTGTCTTTTAAAAATTAAAAAAAAATTGTGTTTTTTTTTTGTTGGAGTCTTGCTCTTTCGCCCAGACTGGAGTACGGTAGCGTGATGCATCCTCAAACTCCCGGGCTCATACGATCCTTTTGCCTCAACCTCCCACACAGCTGGGAAATACAGGCACATGCCACCACACCCACCTAATATTTTTTATTTTTTGTAGAGATGAGGTCTCGCTATGTTACCCAGGTTAGTCTCAAATTTCTGGGCTCAAGAGATCCTCCTGCCTCCTGCTCAAGTGATTCCAAAGTGCTGGGATTACAGGCATGAGCCCCTGTGCCCAGCCTAAAGATGTATTTCAAAATACAATACCAGCCCAGGAAGTTGGCAAGACCATGTCTCTACAAGAAATAAAAAATTAGCTGGGTCTGGTAGCATGTACCTGTAGTTCCGGCTACTTGGAAGGCTGAGGCAGAAGGATTGCTGGAGCCCAGTAGGTTGATGCTGGGGTGACCGTGAGTGTGCCACTGCACTCCAGCCTGGGCAATGGAGTGAGACTCCAACTCAAAAAAAAAATACAATAAGTTCCCTACATATGAACCATCAAGTTAGTTTATGTGTATGGTGTACATTGTCATGTACATGCAAGGTACTATATTGTAAAATTTAAATTGTTTTCTTTATTTTTTGTGTTTGTTTTTATTATTTGTGTGAAAAGTATTAAAAAACTTATTATAGTATAGTACTATATAGCTGATTGTATTAGGTTAACTTTGTTGGACTTAAGAATAAATTGGACTTATGAACATACTCTTGCAACAGAACTTGTTCGTATATAGGGGACTTAGTATAGTTGTCTTTTGATTAATGGACTCTACCCAGTTTTTTTTTTTTCCAGTATAACATTATCTGTAGTAGGAAAGCTTTTTGGAAGCCGGGCTCGGTGGCTCAGCCTGTAATCCCGTGCTTTGGGAGCTGAGGTGAGTGGGTTGCCTGAGCCCATGGGTTCGAGACCTGCCTGGGCAACTTGGCAAGACCTCATCTCTACAATAAATCAAAAAATCAGTCGGGCATGGTAGTGCGTGCCTGTAATTCTGGCTACTCGGAAGGCTGAGGTGGAAGGATCACCAGAGCCCAGCAGGTCGAGGCTGCGGTGGCCGGGAGTGGCCACTGCACTCCAGTCTGGGTGACAGAGTGAGACTCCAACTCAAAAAAAAAAAAGAAAGAAAGAAAGCTTTTTGGAAGAAAGAAGATAATATAAATGTTACATTTAAAATAATATAAATGTGGTTACATTTGTTAAAACTTATCCAGATAAATGAGATTTTGCCACTTTTATTTGGTACTTGTAAGACTTTTGGATTTGAAGACTTGAAGATTTGAAATGCACAGAAATAGTAGAATTAGTTTCTAGTCAGATTGTTGGCTTAGAATAATTTGATCTTCATATTGTTTTGTTTCCTCTTAGTGAGTTTCTCATTGTGATGTGGGAATGGGTGGGTGTGGTTTTCTGAAGGTGTCTTGAGTGGAGGGGGAAAGTTTATATCATGAAACACAAACAATTGAATGTTACACACAGAGATTGAAAGTCCTTTGGCTCCTCTCCTGCAAGACTTTCCCACAGGACCTCTTTCTCCGTGGGCTTCAGCCTTCTGGGACTGCATGGGCTTCTCTCTCTCCATTAGGACTTAGCTCATCTCTCCCTATTCTGCCCTTTTTGAGGACTCTTGTTCCATTCTCCACAGACTCATTTATCTTTTCCTAATTTTGTTCTTCATTCTCCACCAAGCCAAAGCCTACATTTGCATACTTAAATAACCTTAATATCTCTGCTCAAATGGAGAATCATCTATAGGGCATCTCAACCTTTGTTGTAGCACCAAGTAACTGGCAAGCCTTTGAAAAATTAGTCTTGCTATTGATGACTTAGAACCTTCTTTTCTTGTTTTTTGAGTCAGGATTGGAGTGCAGTGGCATGATCACTGATCATACAGCCTTGACCTCCTGTGCTCAAGCAGGGCTTAGCCTCAGCCTCCTGAGTAGCTGGAACTTCAGGCACGTACCACCCTGCCTAGCTAATTTTTTGATGTTTCATAGAGACAGGGTCTCACGTTGCCCAGACTGGTCTCAAAGTCCTGGGCTCAGGCAGTCTTCCCACCTCAGCCTCCTAAAGTATAGGGATTAGAGGCATGAGCCATCACACCCGGCTTTAAATAAGTTGTTTCTTGAGCTTCACTTGAGTCCTATTAGCATACTTAGTTATTAATAATCTGTTTATCAGTCTTAAAAATGGATAAAACCTTTTTAGGTCACATACAGCATACATACCACGTGTGCATAGTAGTACGTGGCTGTCTGAGTTCAAAGCCTGCTTTTTTTTTTTGAGTTGGAGTTTCACTCCTTTGCCCAGGCTGGAGTGCAGTGGCACACACATTCACTACCACCCCAGCATTGACCTTCTAGGCTCCAGCGATCCTTCCACCTCAGCCTTCCGAGTAACTGGAACTATAGATGCATGCTACCACGCCCGGCTATTTTTTATTTTTATTGTAGAGATGAGGTCTCGCCAGGTTGCCAGGGCTGGTCTCTAACCCACGGGCTCAGGCAGTCCTCTTGCCTTGGCCTCCCAAAGTGCTGAGATTACAGGCTGAGCCATGAGCCCAGCCAACACCTGCTTTCTTAGTGGTAAAATGGAGATGACATCAGTACTAACCCTTAGAGTTGAGACTATGTGGCACCTCTTATAAGGGATCCGTACAAGAGATCTTGATAAGGCCAACAGTGATGGGGTGGTACTGATTTAGCATCCATAGCAAACATTATAAGGGAATCAGTTTATCCTGTACTTTCTTTTTTTTTTTTTTTTTTGAGTTGGAGTCTCACTCGGTCGCCCACACTGGAGTGCAGTGGCCGCTTCCGGCCACCGCAGCCTCAACCTCCTGGACTCTGGTGATCCTTCCGCCTCAGCCTTCCAAGTAGCCGGAATTACAGGCACACGCTACCACGCCCAGCTGATTTTTTTATGATTTATTGTAGAGATGAGGTCTCGCTGCCCAGGCGGGTCTCAAACCCACGGGCTCAGGCAATCCACTCACCTCAGCCTCCCAAAGGCGCGGGATTACAGGCTGAGCCATCGAGCCCGGCTTATCCTGTACTTTCTATTGATTGTGTTATTTCTAAAACTTTTTATTATGAAGAATTTTAAGTATAAAAGTAATTATAATGAACTCTCAGTAGCCATCAGCCAACTTTGACATTTATCAAGTCATGGCTAGTTATATCTCCACCTACTTACCCTACCCCCCCATTTTTTAAAAAGCAAATCCAATATTTCATATTTCATCTATAAATATTTAAGTGTGTTAAATCTAAAGAAAAATGTTTTTAATTTTAAAAATCCATCCAATGTTTACATTTCCCTGGTTGTCATATAACTTTTTTTAAACAATGGTTATTGAAAGCAACATCCAAACTAGGTCTATGCTTTGCATTTGGTGCATGTCTCCAGTTTCTTTTAATCTGTAACAATCCCCCCCCCATACCCCCTCCCCTTTTTTTTTAAGAGACAGGGTCTTACTCTGTCACCCAGGCTGGAGTGCAGTGGCACAATCATAGCTCAGTGTATCCTCAAACCCGCGAGCTAAGTGATCCTCCTGCCTCAGTGTCCCAACTAGTTGGAACCACAGACATGCACCACCACATCTGGCTAATCTGTTTTTTAAAAATTTTCTGGAGAGGCAGAAGTCTCACTGTGTTGCTCAGGCTGCTCTTAAACTCCTGGCCTCAAGCAGTCTTCTCAGTTTGGCCTCCCCAAGTGCTGGAATTATAGGTGTGAGCCACCGTCTCCAGCCCTCCTCCCCTTATTGTCCTTTCAATTTAATTTTTGAAGAAATACAGTCATTTAAAATTTCTCACATTCTGGCTTCTGTCTTTTAAAGTATTCCCCTGCTGGGTGCAGTGGTTAAAGCCTGTAATCCCAGCACTTTGGGAGGCCGAGGTGAGAGGATTGCCTGAGCCCAAGGGTTCAAGACTAGCCTGGGCAACTTGGCAGGCCCTCATCTCTACAATAAGTCAAAAAATTAGTTGGGCATGGTAGCACGCACCTGTAGTTCCAGCTACTTGGAAGGCTGAGATGAAAGGATGACCTGAACCCAGTGGGTCGACGCTGGGGTGGCTGTAAGTGTGCTGCTTCACTCCAACCTGGGTGACGGAGTGAGAATCCAACTCAAAAAAAAAAATCCCCTTTCCCCTGTATTTCTAGCAAGTTGATAATAAGATTTAGAATCTTGATGAGATTCAGGTTTGGCCAAGTGTTGCTATTTATTTCACTTCAGTAGCATGCAAAACTTTGTTTTTAAATATTTGTTGTTTGTTTTTCTAGCCTTAGGTGATGGCATTGCTCCGCCACAGAAAGTTCTTTTTCCATCTGAGAAGATTTATCTTAAGTGGCAACAAACTCACAGAGTTGGAGCTGGGCTCCAGAATTTGGGCAATACCTGTTTTGCCAATGCAGCATTGCAGTGTTTAACTTACACACCGCCTCTCGCCAATTATATGCTATCACATGAGCACTCCAAGACATGTAAGTATTCTGTATTATGGTATGTTTGTAGTATTGTGGCGCATATATGCCTACTTTCACTTTTCTCTGAAATGAAAGTGAAAAATTAAGCCAAGTTATTTGATCACTAAGAAGCTAGTTTATTCTTTTAGAAACCAAGGAGGAGGAGGACTCCAGGGTTTGTATTCAGGTTGCATAGAAAGCATTTTGTACCAAATTTGATATGTGAAGGTATTTAATAAGAAATACCTCACATTTTCTCAGCATTTAGCATTTCTGAACTCCCTGCTGGTTTTCTACACTTATTTTGAAAAATGACAAATGTCTGACGCTAACAGCTTGAGACAAGCAGGGTTAAGAAATTCTGCCTCAGCCGGGCTCGGTGGCTCAACCTGTAATCCCGCACCTTTGGGAGGCTGAGGTGAGTGGATTGCCTGAGCCTGCGGGTTCGAGACCCGCCTGGGCAACTTGGTGAGACCTCATCTCTACAATAAACCAAAAATTAGCCGGACGTGGTAGCACTTGCCAGTAGTTCCAGCTACTTGGAAGGCTGAGGTGGAAGGATCACCAGAGCCCAGCAAGTCGAGGCTGCGGTGGCTGGGAGCAGCCACTGCACTCCAGTCTGGGCGACACAGTGAGACTCCAACTCAAAAAAAAAAAAAAAGAAAAGAAAAGAAAAGAAATTCTACCTCTCCTGGCATTCATCTTGTGTTGGAAGTCATGATTGGTTTATAAGCTTATAAGCCTTATAGGAGAGGAACCCTCTTACCACTGCCTCCAACAGTGGAATTCATACAGGACTTTTCCTTTAGCATTGGAGAGCTTCATCTTCAACACATGGGACAGAAAAACAATTAAAACTTATTAAAATGTCTCTCATTAGGTAGATACAGTGGTTGATTCTCAAAATTCAAAATTTAGAACATTGTTTTTGAGGTTTTGACTTATACATATATCATATATGTCCTTCATTCTTTATAAATGAAGCTCCCTATTCTTTGATCCTAATTAATGCTCAGATTCATGTGTGTATGATCTGATGCTATTCATTATTAGGATAAATAAAACTCCATGGTTTCTTTTTGAATAGTTATTTACTTAAGAGAATTAAAAGTGGTTCTTTTAAAACTGATTTTTTTTCTCTAAGAGAGCAAAGTAATGCTTGTAAGGAATTTGGAAAATAAAGAAAAATTTAAAGAAACCAAAGAAAAATCACTCAGAATCTCACCACCTAGAGGTGTTTGTTATGCCAAGGAGTTTTAAATTACAGAATGAGCATTCTGTTTGCACTCATTTTCTCCCTTTCCTAGTACCTAATTCTTTCCCACAGATAGCTTTCCTATCATTTTTACACTTAATGAAAGTAGGGTGTGTGGATGAAAACCCAGCACTGGCACCTGGATAGCAAGAGGACCAAGACAAAATTCAAAAACTTTTGGTGTCCAGAATTAGGTGCCTATCTTTTATACTATTGGTAGATTTTTTTTTCCCCTCTCTCCCCCTCTCTCTTTTCCCAGCTTTATTGAGTTATCATTGATATATTATAAATTGTATGTATTAAAATATGCAATTTGATTGTTTTGATATTTATATGTATCCTGAAATTAAGATAATGAACATATTCATCACCCCAAAAGTTTCCTAATGCCTGTTTGAAATTGCCCCTTCCATCTTTTTCCCTACTCTTCATCCCCTTTACCCAGGCAACCACTGATATACTTTCTGTCACTATAAATTAGTTGAATTTTCTAGAATATTACTTACGTAGAAGTATATGTTTTTGTTTCCTTCATTCAGCATAATCATTTTGACATTATTCCATTTGTGGCATGTATCAGTTCATTTTTATTGTTGAGTAGTATTCCATCATATGAATGTATCATAATTTGTTTCTCTACCTGTTGATGGACATTTGGGTTATTTCCCATTTGAGACTATTACAGATTAAGCTGCTGTGAACATTTACAAACAAGTCTTTGTTAGGATATGTTTTCATTTCTCCTAAGTAAAAATCTGTAAGTAAAATGGCTTGGTCCCATGGTAGGCATGTGTTTAACTTTTTAAGATACTTCCAAACTTTCCAAGAGTGATTGCAGTGTTACAGGCTTAAACCACCGTACCCAACCAGTATTTTATTTTTTAAATTTCACTTTCTGGTTGTTTATTGCTAGAATGTAAAAATTTTTTTTTTGGATATTGATCTTGTATCCTGGAATTTTGCTTAACTTGTTAATTCTAGTCTTTTTTTTTAATTAAAAGATCTTTAAGATTTTTATAGTGTCCGGGCACAGTGACTCAAGCCTGTAATCCCAGCACTTTGGGAGGCTGAGGCAAGATGATTGCCTGAGCTCTGGGGCTCAAGACCAGCCTGGGCAACTTGGTGGGACCTCATCTGTACGATAAATCAGAAAATTAACTGGACATGGTAGCATGTGCCTGTAGTTCTGGCTACTTGGAAGGCTGAGGCATAAGGATCTCCCTAGCCCAGCAGGTCGAGGAGGCTTTGGTGGCCATGAGTGTGCCACTGCACTCCAGCCTGGGTGACAGAGTGAGACTCCAACTAAAAAAAAAAAAACAAAACAAAAAAACAGATTTTTATAGCTATGACCATGTGATCTGTTAGTGAAGATGATTTTACTTCTCCATTTTCAGTCTGTGTATACCTTTTTTTTTTTGGCTGCTTTGTACTGGATAAGAGACCTCCATTACAATGTTGAGTAGATGTGGTGAGAGTAGACATCCATGTCTCTTTCTCAGTCTTAGAGGAAATCATTGTCTTTCATGATTAAGTATGGTGTTAACTATGGGTTTTTCATAAATGTCTTTTCCAGGTTGAGTGTGTTAATGCTTTAATGTTAAACCAACCTTGCATTTCTGAGAGGAACCACACTTGGTCATAATGCATTATCCTTTCTATGTATATTGGCTTTGATTTGCTAAAAATTTGCAAAATAGTTTTAGCTTCATGAGTATTATTAGGCTGTGGTTTATTTTTTAAAATTATGTCTCCATCTGGTTTTGATGTCAGGATAATGGTGCCATCATGGAATGTGTTGGGATGTATTTTTTCACTTTTATTTCCTGGAAGAGTTTGTGCAGAATTGGTGTTATTTCTTCCTTAAATGTTGGGTAGATTTAATCACTGAAGTTATCTGGGCCTTGCAGTTTCTCATGGGCAGGTTTTAAACTATATATTTAATTTCCTTAATTAATGTAGGACTATTCAGGTTATCATTTCTTCAGGGAGCTTTGGTAGTTTGGGTCTTTCAAGAAATTTGTTGTAGTTACTGAATATATTAGCATATACTTGCTATACTGTTTCTTTATTTTTTTTTTTAAGAGACAAAACCTCACTCTGTTGCCCAGGCTGGAGTGTGGTGGTGTGATAGTATCTCAGTGCATCTTCAGACTCTTGGGCTCAGACGATCCTCCCACCTCAACCTCAACCTCCCCTGTAGTCCCCAGATTTTTTTGTAGAGAGATGGAGTCTTGCTATGTTGTCCAAGCTGGTCTTAAACTCCTGAGCTCAAGCAGTCTTCCCACCTCAGCCTCCAGAAGTGCTGAGATTACAGACTTGAGCTGTACCCAGTTCTTGTTCATACTGGTTTGTTTTTGTTTTTGTTTTTTTTTAGTCATAGTCTCTCTCTGTTGTTGCCCAGGCTGGAGTGCAGTGGCATGCTCACAGCTACCGCAGCCTCAGCCTTCTGGGTTCAGGTGATCTTTCTGCCTCAGCCTTCCAAGTTGCTGGAACCAGGCGTGAACCACTATGCCTGGCTAATTTTTAAAATTTATTTCTTTATTGTAGAGATGAGGTCTCACCATGTTGCTGGTCTCGAGCCTGTGGGCTCAGGCAATCCTCTCGCCTCCACCTCCCGAAGTTTTGGGATTACAGGCATGAGCCACTGCGCCCAGCTCATACTGCTTCCTTATTTTACTTTTATTTCCTTAGGGTCTGTAGTGATTTTCTCGTTCTCATTTCTAATATATTAAATTGTGTCTCCTCCCTTTTTGATTTTTTCAGTCGGACTAAAGGTTTTTTAATCTTAATGATTTTCTCAAAGATCTAGCTCTTGGTTTTTCATTGTTACTCTGTTTTCTGTTTCATTGATATTTGTTACTATTTTTATTCCTTTTCTTCTACTTACTTTAAATCTGATGTGCTCTGGTCTAGTTTCTTAAGGTGAAATCTTAGGTCATTTGACTTGAGATCTTTCTTCTTTTACGGTATGTGTTAAATGCTATAAATTTCCCTATATATGCTGTTTTAGATGCATCCCAAACATGTTGATATATTATGTGTTAATTTTTGTTTCAAAATACTTTCTAATTGCCCTTGCAGTTATTTAGAAGTATGGTGTTTAGTTGCCAAAAGTTTGGGGATTTTCCAGAAATTGTCCTGTTACTGATTTCTAATTTTATTTTATTGTGGTCAGAGAATATTTTTCTTAATGCTTGAATCCTTTTAAACTTGAACTTGTTTTATGCACCAGACGTGGTCTGTCTTGCTAAATGGTTCATGTGCACTTAATAAAGTATTAAGTATTCTGGTATTAGAATTTCTACAAATGCCAATTATGTTTAGTTGATAGTGTTGTTGAGGTAGTCTTCTTTGTTCTCACTGTTTTTCTGTCTACTTGTTCTATCAAGTTTTGAGAGAAGTGCCGAAAGAAACTATATTTGTGAATGTGTCTGTTCTATCAGTTTTGCTGCATGTATTTTGAAGCTTTGTCCTTTAAGATGTTTGTTCTCTTGATGAAATCATCTGTTTATCAATTACAGATAGACTCTCTTTATCCCAAATAATATTCTTTGCTCTGAAATCTACTTTATCTGAGATAAATTTAGCCATTCCTATTTTGTTATGATTAATGTTAACATAGTATACCTTTTTCCACCTTTTATTTAAAGTGGATTTCTTGAAAACAGCCTATGGTTTGAACTTACTTTTTTATCCAGTAGTAGCATCTGCCTTTTATTTTGGGACATTAAGCCATTTTCATTTAATAAGATGATTGATATGA